GTGACAAAACTAAAGCGGGAAAGAAGACCAGCACTCAAATAGATAAAGAATGATAAAGTTCAACCATAACACTACAATTAAAAAAGGTGAAAAGGGTATTTATTTCAACATCGAGCTGACTTGAAAACTTCTATCAATCTTTACATCGATTACTCGATCAAGGCTGTAATTTATTTAATTTAAAAATTTGTTTCTCTGTCTTTAATATAAATCTGTATAAAATTGTTTTTTTATCTCTGTAGTAACCGTTATACAGGACTAAAATATCGATCTGGATTCACAGACTCAAACAAAAATAGAGAGAATATCATTTCAGAAGCAAGAGTCCATAAACCCAGAATACATACGGATTTCTAGAAGTAAATATTCTTATTATCGATCATTATTCTTATTATCGATCATTATCATTATCAACCAGCCGCCCCATATACCTAAAGATGATTGAATTTTGTTATGATAAGACAATTCACGAGACTAATGATTTATTTAAAAAACCCTACTATATACGTGATGAAATCTAATTCCAGACGGAGCACACCGCCTTAAAATATCACATTTTGAAGCCATTTAAAAAAATTTGTACCCATTTTGACTATTCTGATACATTTTGATCTATTTTCAAGTTATTTTTTGAAAGAGTCAATATTAAAAAGAAAATCTTATTTTTAAGTAAACAAGAGGCCCATGGGCCTTATAGGTCACCTGAGCATTATGCAACACCTTACCAGTGATTGAATTTGATTCACGTTTTAAGCCAGATGCTATGGCATTCAAAAGTTTGAAAGAGGCACCATTGATCATCATAACAATACAGTTAGCAGTTGCTTAGTTTGTTTACTTAATACCCATACGCAGGGTAAGGGAACACAAAATGCATTTCAACTAATCACTAATATTCAGCAATAATCAGTAGTGCCCCTACCATACATGAACCCCTGATCCTTAGGCCTTGATATTTGATTAATACCAAGGAGCAGATTTCAAACCATTCATTCAATGACATTCATTTTCAGTATATAAGTATAACCCCCCTCACTCTATGGTACCCCTGACCCTGGGGCCTTGAAATTCACAATTGTGGAAGATATGGGCCCTTGTCCATCATAACTATATTGGTAGTTCATCTGCTTAATACCCTGGAGCAGAGAAGAAAATTTTCAAAGATTTAATGTATTTTCACTATATAATCAATAGAGCCCCGACCTAAAACCAGAACCCCTGATCCTGGGGCTATAAAATTCACAATTATGTAAGAGGCATTCTTGCTCATCATAACTATATACTTAGTTAATTTATTTCCTAGGAGCAGAGGAGAAGATTTTCAAAGAATTCATGTATTTTCACTATATAATCAATACAGTCCCACCCTAACACCAGAACCCCTGACCCTGGGGCCATGAAATTCATTATTTTGGTAGAAGCACACTTGCTCATCATAACTATGCACTTAGTTAGTTTATTTATTTCCTAGGAGCAGAGGAGAAGATTTTCAAAGAATTCAGGTATTTTCACTATATAATGGGTCAAGGTAGAGCCCCGCCCTAACACCAGAACCCCTGTTCCTGGGGCCATAAAATTCATAATTTTGGTAGAGGCACTCTTGCTCATTATAACTATGCACCTAGTTAGTTTATTTAATACCAAGGAGCAGAAAAGATGATTTTCAAAGAATTCATGTATTTTCACTATATAATCAATAGAGCCCCGACCTAACACCAGAACCCTTGACCCTGGGGCCATAAAATTCACAATTTTGGTAGAGGCACTCTTGCTCATCATAACTATGCACTTAGTAAGTTTATTTAATACCTAGGAGCAGAGAAGAACATTTTAGAGAATTCATGTATTTTCACTATATAATCAATAGAGCCCCGCCCTAACACCAGAACCCCTGACCCTGGGGCCATAAAATTCACAATTTTGGTAGAAGCACTCTTGCTCATCTTAACTATGTACTTAGTTAGTTTATTTAATACCCAGGAGCAGAGAAGAAGATTTTCAAAGAATTCAGGTATTTTCATCTATATAAGTAAAATTAAAGTCAAATTTTAAAGTTTTACAAAACCCTGGGCCATAAAAAAAAAATTTTGATTAATAAGCACTCTTGCTCATCTTAACTATGTACAATTTTTTTTTATATAGTTAGAAAGTTTTTATTTAATACCCAGGAGCAGAGAAGAAGATTTTCAAAGAAATAATGCATTTTCACTACCTCTTATTTAGCCCCGCCCTAGCAATATACATTTTACATTTCATGAAAGCTTAACATTTTGGTAGAGGACTCATGATTTGCCTTACAAAAAAATCATAAAAACAGTTTGACTGCTTGATTAAAAAGAAGAAGATTTTTAAAAATTGCACTAATTTTCGTGGTTTTGGCCCCACCCCACAGGCCCCAGTGGGGCAGGGATCATGAAATTCACAATTTTTGTTCCCCTTTACCAATATATGCTTTATGCCTAATTTGGTTGAAATTGGTTCAGTGGTTGCAGAGAAGAAGCTGAAAATGTTCAAATGTTAACGCACGACGCACAACGCACGATTTGAATTGCTAATAATACAAAAAAGAGTCAATATAAAAAAAAAGATCTTATTTTTAAGTTTAAAAAAATTCAAATGCTTTCCCGTCCTTTAAAAAATGAAAAGAAACCAAGAGACAGATGTACAGCAGAGAAGACAGTATTATGACGTCATCAAGAATATATGGATCTCTGGAACGAATGAATAAAGAAGATTGTTATCCAACTTTACCTTCAATCTGACAGAAGAATATTGTACATAATAAAATCATCTGACACTACTGCCAGGAATGGTTAAGATATCGACAAAGTATTTCTTAAATAACAACGGGTAAGACAATAAACAAAAGCATTTCTTCAGATTTCCTTATGTACCCTAAAGCTGAGTTAAGAGCCGCTCCGCCTATCTTTTGATGCACCATTAAACCATTAAATAACCCTTATAATAGAAAAATACAGATCTACCTGTCACCCCAAACATAGATGTGACAAAACTAAAGCGGAAAAGAAGACCAACACTCAGATTGATAAAGAATGATATAGCTGAAATATAACACAACAATTACCTAATGTAAAATGGGTATTTATTTGAACATCGAGTTGACTTGAGAACTTCTACCAATCTTTAACATCGTTTGTTCGATGAACGCTGTAATTGAATTGTGATTTAATTAAATAATTGATTTCTGTTTAATCCGCGTGTAGAAAATTACGCGGATTTTTGATATACTATATGCCTTACATTTAAAGTGTGTTTTCGGAAAATTTGTGACCGCGTACATAGCGTAAATTAATACCACGCGGAAAAAAGTACTTTTACAGTAATTTAATGATTGATTTCTCTGTCTTTAATAAAAATTGTTTTTTATCTCTGTAGTAACCGTTATACAGGACTAAAATATCGATTTGAATCATAGACTCGAACAAAAATAGAGAGAATATCATTTCCAAAAGAAATCAAAGTCCATAAATACAGAACATATAAGGATTTCTAAAAGTGAACATTCTTATTTATGAAAATCAGATTTTTGAAATCACTTAACTCAACCTAGTCTTTGTTGGCAATGCAGAACTAACTAGAAGACGATAAAAAATAGGGAATGATGTTTTCAGGTACAAATTTTTCTTACTCCAGTCCCTCCGATAAAAATAAACTCAGACCGAACAAGGGGAAGCAGACTCTATAATAACAGTCACAGTTCCAACATGCAACTGAATGATAACAAAAAAATTGACAACTTATTCGCCTTTAATCTGACAATATCAGACAGATGCACTTAACAATATTGTATGGAAATACATTAAAGATACATCTCAATGTTTTAGACCTACCCTACACTTGAGTTACTCCATAACCAAGTTTCTGGGAACAGTTTTCTAACTCGGAGATTGGATGAATCACTGGATACGTCCGTTGAATAAGCAACCAACATATCCTCCTGCAGCTGCTGCTGTGGCATGGAGTCAAATGACTGCACTGAAGCCATTCTAAAACTGGCTCTTCTAGCGGAAGCTAGACTAAACATTGGAGGATCCCCTTGAACAAAATTTCATTTTTATTCCTACGTTTCAGTTTAACAATATTCGGTCCGACAATACCAGTCATTACTTAGGACTGTGCAGAACAGCGTACAGTTGTGATATCCAGGTTATCAATTACCCAGCGTCAGGATTAGTATATAAATCGGATACATTTATTGATACATGTATTCATGAACCAATTAACTGTAGTAGGAGACATGTATGCAGTGCGCATGACAATGTTACATCATTCCTCTTAAACTTAAAATGAGGTACACAGAGATTACATTTTAACACATTTTAACTGAGGGGAGATTTATTAAAGAGAACTGTTTTGAAAGAAACTTAATTTCCATTGCCAAGTAATTACAATTACATGTCATTGCAAGAATTGCAAAAAGTGTTGAGCAGAGTGTTTTCCAAGGAAAAGCAACACTTTCAAGCAAAGAGTTATGTTCTTATCTACGTATATAAAGAAATCATGTATTCAATCGACAAGATTCTGTAATTGTACCTTGGTACGAAGTTTAAATATACGTATTTAAGTGCTTTTGGAATTTAACACTGTTCTCTGTTTATTTGAAGCATGAAATCTTCTATCAGGTGTTTGGAATTATTTCTATGATTTCTAAGGAGGAAACCCGTTAAATCGACAGGAAGAAAGTTTAAGCAAAATATACACTTTTTTTCTGCAGATAAATAAATACCTAATGAGTGGATGACAGTTCAGTATCACTATTATTTTCCTCTTATAACTTTAATATACTAGCATTCCTTATTTTACCATCAACCATCCCTTAGGTACCATATACTTGATGAAGAAACAAATAAATATCTAGGCTCAATTTTCAACTGATCTCGGACTGAATATATGACCAGGTTATCACTTGCACGCATGTTTCTAGATTTATTCTACACTAGATGACCCACCGTCCCATGACAGGGAGTGGTTTTACCTACCCGGTGCTTGAATTGCTCCAAAGCCACGTTTCTGGGAAAACTTTTCTCACGCGTGGGGGTGATGAAGAAGAAGGCGGTCCACTTCCGGCAGCTGGGGCAGCCATTACTCTGTTCTCCATGGCTGCAAATGCGACTGGCTGTGCAGCCATGGCCATTACCGGTCCACCCATTCTACGTAACATTGGCATGGGTTGCAGCCCTTGAATAGATTACGTCATCATGAATTCAAGCCATGTGACGACCGACATGGCCTTTGGATACGTGGGACTTTGCAACGGAATTCTTCATCGGAGAGAGAAGAATATTTATCCACTAACTGATCTTTTATGATTTCTAATCATGCACCTTAACTCCTCCCTGTTTTAAACTTGTTTTTTATTTACTAGTACTTTTTTTTATTTTTGAGGTGGTTTAAAAAAAATTTAGTTAGTCCATGAGTGTGTTTTTTTAAAGAATGTTTTGTAAATTTCCTTGCTTTCATATCAACATCAGTTCCCACAACAAATATATAACTTAAAAGTAAAGGACCAAATAAAGCGTTTGTTAATTGTAAACATGCGAAAATGGTCAAGTTGAACCATCATTTTGCTGCTTAAATCATGCTTACATTATGCCAAATCCAACGTATAAACGAATGATTGAAATGAAAACTATAAAAACGGCACCAAGAATATGCAATCATGTGTAAACCATAAATCAAAGCAAAACATGCAAAACCCAAAGCGAGAATGTCCCAGTAGTAAGTGCCATGTCGGAATGTCAAACAAACTCAATGATGCTGTCACTCAATGACTTTAAACGATTTTTGAATTTTTTTTTCATCTTTTAATTTTTTTGTTAAAATTATTTTTAAAAAGTGTATGTCAAGCAAGAAACAGCACCATTTTAATTATTGAAGAAAAAGATAAAAATACTCATAGATTTCAAATTTGAGATAAGATTTATAAAACATTGCAAGAAAATAAAGATGTCAAAATAAAAATCATTGCAGTTTACTTTAACTTGTTTGAATTTCAAAAAAGGCAGGGGAGTAATTAGTTAAAGACTCACATGGCTCTTCGTAGTTATAGACTAAGGCGTCAGTAAGGACAACCATTCCATTGTTCTGTAACGAAAAAAAACATTTTTACAGAAAGGAATAAACAATTCTTTTACATTTAAATTAACGCTTTAAGATAAAAAAAATATTTACATTCTTTATGAAACAAATGGAGATAACGAACAGTGTTCCTTTCTAGAGAATAAGCTAAATTTACTTGCAATATACAGTAAGTATGCTAATCATTCTAATTTTATACTCTATAGTTCTTTGATTGCTATTTGTAATTGATGATAAAATCAAACATGTCAGAACATACTCGGAACACATCTTCAGCATCCTCCCCACCCGAGGGTCTCGGCCACCAATGCCAGCTTCGAGCAAAAGGTCCCAAGTTTCCACCGGAGAAGGCGTTATCGTAGCTGTTTAACTCGTCATTAACCTGCAGCACAACAAGGCATAAAGTAACAGGTAGTCGTAAATAATTCTGATTTAGATAAAGAAATAGATGCTCATCGATAAATCTAATAGTTTGTGTCGTCGTTATAAAGTTCAGCTTGACGTGTTTTTTTTCAGAAAGGGCTCAGATATTGATTTAATGACTTCTTTTATAAGTTATTTACCCTGCTTTCTTTGATGTCATTGTCACTACGTAAAATAAGAACACTCTTATCCACCGCCAACAAATGAACCGTGGAATCCGGATCCGCTTTGACGGACACCACCACTTCATTTCCGGGGCGTGTCTCCTTTACATCAAAATCAATGTCCACCTGTTTGAATAGAAAAAAGCCAGCATAATTTAATGTTTTTCTTTTAATTTGGAATACACAAAAGTAAACATTCTGGATTTGGAATGTTGAAAGTAAATCAAATTCTAGCTGATAGCAGGTGAAGCATGATATTATTGTTCTAAAAATTATGATGATCTTTCAAAATTATCAATAAATCATATATTATTAAAGATATACCTTGTTTTTGAAGATTCCATCGATATTGAAAGTGAGTGCATCAGTGACGATTTCTCCGTCCTTTCTGACGTAATGGACAATAAGACGAGCTTTTGGCGCCATTTCTGTTGTAATTGGTAAGTTAAACTTCTTAACCCCTGAGGTGGGCATGTCAATTTCTCCTGAATCTACAACCTGTCCTTTTGAAACGACCTGAAATCGCAAAGTTTCAGTATATCTAATACTATGTATATAAAATTTTCCAAAATTCTCCCTTTTGTTATTTTTCTTAATAAGCGGAGTATGGTTATAAAATATTTTTGAAATAATTCATAAATGTTTTACTGGGTTAAGATAGACAATTTTCGCATGCTGTTTTTATTTTCATGGAGTAAATTTAGAATTTCGTCGTTCGTTGTTTGAAGAAATATCAGTATTTCAAGAAAATTATATTTCATCGTAGTTAATTAAGAAACAAATATTCCATTATGGAATTAAAAACTAACATTTCGTAAGTAATATGTTTTTGTTAGTCTCTTTGTTCTAGGAAAACAAAAAAAAAATATCAAACTTCCATGAAAATAAATGATTTAACAGCAGTTTATTTTTTGGAAAGGTAACATTTGAAGTGACTAACAATTCAAAAAGGAAATATAAGTGTCCTACCTGGTAGTAAACTTTTGGAGTACGCTCAGATGTTTTGATTTCAAACGTTGAAACAGATCCAGTCTAAAAAATGTAGAGAAATATTCATTATAAAATGTTTTGTGAATATTTCCCCATTTGTTTGAGTAAAGTACATACCGTATAAGTGGAAATTTTAGGGAGACGCAAATTTAGCGATTTGTCCAAAAAAAATTGTTTTACTTTTAGCGAGATGTAATTTTAGCGCTTTAAACCTTTTACTGCAACTAATTTTAGCGATATTCAATTTCAGCGATCTCAACATCTTCACTTATAATGCCAAAATTAAAGCCTCGCTAAAATTTCTGCTTATACGGTACTAAATAATAATGATATTATATATAGTTTTTTTCACCAACAGAATTTCTAAATTTAACAGGATGCAACAAAATTACACTTTGTCCTCGCTTCAGAAAAATTGAAGACCATGCGCAGACCAAGAAGGAGGGGTAGAAAGGGGAGAGTGAAATTAACATCACTTTAAAATTTAATCTTTCTCAACCATTTCAAGTAAGAATATCAAAAATATTAAAATCAGGGAAGATACGTTTCTCACAACAAACAAAGATAAGTTTCCTGGAACATACATTAACAGAATATATCTTTCCATGCGCACAAGCTAGGCTGCTTTATGTTAAATTCAATTAAAAAAAATATAAACTAGGTGCAATATTGGGTATAAAACAGAACTCAAAAATTCGACCCAATGCTAGGTTAAATATGTATGTGCTTAAAATTCATAATAACGATAATAGAATAAACAAAATGCCGCTTTAAAATTAGGTTTTTCGAAAACCTTGTTACGTCAACATTACTGTCAGTATTCTGCCTCGATCGTTTTAAAACTGGTCGTACTCGGTACTTTTATCGAATAATCTGTAATTGTCCACAGTCCTTACCTTTGGTTTGACATCAGGATTTAGTAGTGTCACCTGCATAAAGCTGTTACTGGGTGATTTACTTGGATTAAGACTAAGGTATGATGAACTCTTTTCATATACTGCCTACAAGTAATAAATGAAAATTTGGAATTTAAAAATAACTTTGTATTTACCCTTTTTTCTAAAAAAAAACTTTAGTTGGATGAGATTTTGTTTGCATTAAAAGAAATTCCAGCCTTCACTCACCTCCACTGATGCCCGTTTGACATTCTCTGGGATTGTCATTTCATATTTAAAAACGCCATCGGCATCCACATCCAGGAAGACGGGTTCCAGCTTTTCGTCTTTGGAGACGGGCTGCCAGAAATGCCGTCCTCTGATTGGTGATATCATTGGTTCGTCGACTGGAAGACGCTCAGGCCGCATTCCGGGTTCTCGTGGTGGCGGTATTTCCGTCGTGGTGGTGGTGGTGGTGGTTGAGGGGAGGGGCAGGGTGTGGGTCACGGTCAGTTTGACCCTGGAGGCCGTCGGAAGGGAAATTGGGGAGTCATCCTGACGGGTTACTCTTCCCTATTAAACAATGAAGGATGTGGAGATAACGAACAGTATTCAAGATAAATGTCTATAAAACATTACAAAATGGGAGCAAAGAAAACACGTGCACGGACCTCCAAAACATCAGAAGTGGAATCAGGTGCCTTGGAGGAAAATACAACGGATAACATCATAAAACAACAATACAACGGATAAAATCATAGAACACTATCAGTTTGACAGCATTGCACCTTGATCATATTAAACTTAGTTACTGCAAGCCTAATATAAAGAAGGCTACGTTTTATATATATATATATATATATATATATATATATATATATATATATATATATATATATATATATATATTTCCATTTCTAATTTTTCTCTTTGTGAAAACTCTTTGAAAGCTAGAGGAGTTGATATATTGATAATTCTACCAGAATGTAAATTAGGCAGGTCGATAGGTCAGGAGCTAAGGACGCCTAATATGCATGCAAATCTCGTGCGGCTGCCTTTGTATTTGACGTCAGTGGGCGAGAACTATTAAAATTGTCATGGGAGTCCTCGTGTAATTAAAATCTTTGTTTACAATTTTAAAATCTAAATCTATAATTTTATTTTACAATGAAATGGAAATATAAGGAATCACTATCTGGTTCAGATAGTATGCCAGGGACATCAACGATAGTGGGAAACATGGGATAATTTATGCAAAACGGGCTTCGCCCGTTATGCAAATTATCCCATGTTTCTCACTATCGTTGATGCCCTGGCATATTATCCTAACCAGACAGTGATTCCTTAAGTATAGCGGTTATTAGATCATACTGAGCAAGATTTATAGTACATCTTTTATGTAATTATGTTCCCCAAACGAAGTTGGGGAACATATTGTTTTTACTCGGTTTCTTATTATTATTATTAAGGTCTTCCGTCTTCAGCGGAAGACCTTGTTATTCTTAGGTTTCTTTTCCACTATTTTTATTATTATTATTGTTTTTTTTTCTTACCGATTTTGTGCACGCGAGTTCTCGGAAACGCCTCGATGGATTTTCATGAAACTTTCAGGGCTGATAGAACATCAAACAATCCTGATATATAATTTTTTGTTTTGATGACGTCACTTCCGGTTTTGAGATTTTCGCGATTTAGTGATTTTCAGAGGGTCACTTTGTCCGCGAGTTTTCTCAAAAACGGCTTAGGATAGAAACTTGAGTTTTTCAGCAATGATAGAGCAATATATGTAGATGTGACATACGTATTTCATTTTTACCGGAAGTGCTGCATGCCGACGCTCGCTATGGTCCGAAAAGGGGCATGTCGAGAATTTTAAAATTTCTAACACTTTTTCTTCAATATCTTTTTACATACAAATATTTCGTTAAGACATAAAGAACAAAAGAAGTGTAAAATTACGTGATCTTTCAAACGATATCTCGAAAAAAGGGCTGGCCCCTATAATTAAGGGCCGAGAGGGGCCAAACGTTTTTCCTTTATATCTCAAAAAGTATTGAGAATTTGTAATACGTCAAAGAAGCAAAGTTGTTCAAAATGCTAAGCTTCATCTATCTGGATCGTCAAAATTCATCCGGCGACGTCACTTCCGGTAAAACCGGAAGTAGTACGAAAATGCATATTTTTGCCGTTCTTGACATATTTTTGGGTAGCACATGTCACTGGAAGCATAAAAACTTAATTTTCCGTCCGTCGACAACACTTCCGGTCAAACCGGAAGTAGCCAAAAATAGCTTATTTTTTAAGGTTTTGACGCAAAATTGAATTTTTTAAGTCAATTGAGACAACTTAGCTCATTGCTTTCTTTCGTTGACGTCACTTCCGGTCAGAACAGGACGGAAGACCTACTCGTTGCTTTGCAACGATATATTGCTCTAGTTCTTATTATTTTTCTTCTTCCTGGGAAAATTTTGTCCACGAGTGATCTTGTAAACTACACAACCGACTTAGGTGAAACCTTTTTAGGGTCAGTAGGCATGTTATGTAGAGTTGCCGAACGAAGGTCATTTTGCGCGCACGTGCTTGCAAGAGCGCGCACGTGCAACACGTGAAATGACCAATATAATGGATATTGCCGTAACTTTTCTATTTTTTGATGAAATTTTTTGAAACTCATTATGTAAGGATACATTAGTAGTATAGACAAGATAGCATGGTCAAAATAGCAAGATCTCACGCGCATGCACGTGCGCTTCGCTCTGATTGGCTGAAACTAAAGTTTCAGTATCTTTCTTGTTTCTTGTCATAATCCTTTGAAATTTTGAACATAGTCCTACATTATGAAGATCTACCGCAAGATATATAAGAATTTTCATGAAAGTATGCGCATGTGCGCGTGCTGCAAGCTGATTGGCTGAAACTTTAAATGGCAATATCTCCTTTGTTTTTTGACGAAATTCTTTGAAATTTAAAATATAGTCATGCATTAGGATATCCTACAAAATGATATAGAAAAATATCATGAAATCACGCGCATGCACGTGTGCTGCAATCTGATTGGCTGAAACTTTAAATGGCTATTTCTCCTTTGTTTTTTGACGAAATTCTTTGAAATTTAAAATATAGTCATGCATTAGGATATCCTACAAAATGATATAAAAAAAAGTCATGAAATAACGCGCATGCACGTGTGCTGCAATCTGATTGGCTGAAACTTTAAATGGCTATAACTCCCTTGTTTTTCAACCAAACAGGATGGGATTTAGAACATAGATAAATATAAGGGACTCCTACAAGAAGGTGTAGTCATTATGCACGTGCACGCACGTGCGTGCATTTGAAACGAGTATATTTAAAATTCACTTGAATGAGTGATTTTTATTACTTTTAGACTGAATGCTTTAATACATAGTACATGTATATTAAAATATATAAATAGTGTAGACAAGATGATATGGTCATAACGCACATGCATTCACATGCGCTTGGGTGCAATGCTAAAAATTGAATATAATTGGTATCCTTCTGGGAAAACGTTGTTAAAGTCAAAAATGCACAGAGTTTGTCTTATTTAATGAAGCTTACAGGGAATATGGCACCGAAAGGGAGTTGGGGAGCGTTTGGGGAACATCTGTAACGGTTCCCGTTACAATTAGCACTAGTTACTAATGCATTTTAGTTTACTTACTAGGACTGTATATTTAAGACCAGGTTTAAACGTCTTTGGTAAAGACTCCAGGAATTCCACTTTGTTTTCAAACGGGTAGAATCTGACAGTACCGGAAGCGTTCTGTCTAAGCCCAGTTATTGCCTCTGTGACGTTCACTTCAAACAACAGTTCACTGTAGTCCAGCCATTTATCAAGACTCTTAAGCTTGGAGTTCTCCACGTCAAACTTATATTCGCCATTTATCTGAAGAAATGAAAAATTTAGATAAAGAAATATTAGTAGTGCTTTTAAAGAACATTAATTTTCATTATGATACATAATAGATTTCAGACCAGTTGTCTTGTTAAGAATTAAAGTTTTACCGGTGAAAACAAAATTTACAGTGCAGTACTGGGTATGATAATTTAAAGTTAAACGGTGTGGTATGCAGTATGACTATTTAAGTTTACCGGTGTATGAAAATTTATTTAACCGGTGCGGTATGCAGTATAAAATTTTAAGTTCACCAGTTTGGTATGCAGTAAAAGAATTTAAGCTTACCGGTGCAGTATGAGAAATCTCGTTCAGGAGACCCTGTTTTTTCCTGTTCTCGATGGACCAAGGACTAGTGCTGAGGAAGGGCGGGCGGATCCTAATGTCAACCTGTCCCTTCACTGGCTTACCAAATGTATACCTGTAATTGGAATACGAAAGTGTCTAGTTCAATGATGAAATAAATATATGTAAAGGTATTCGCAAATTAATTTTAGCTAATATTTTCTTTGTAATAAAGATTTTAAAAAATCTGTAATAAATATGTTGCATTTTATAGCTTCGCGATGTGCGCTTACTTGGAAATGACTTTGATGCCAGTCAGGTTTCTGTTGCTCAGTCCGTATGGGGGAAGATCCAAGGTTACATCAAACTTTGGCAATACTGAAAATAAAGTCAGTTGTTTTAATTGACCGATAAATTGCTATATTGGGTTTCTTGAAAAATCACCTTTAGAAGACATTAAACTGAAGGCTGTATAACAGTGAATGGGGAATATATTTACCATACTCATCGACTGTAACTGTCTTCGTGTGGGCTTCATTCTGGAGTGAGAAGAAAAAATTGTCAATCAATCATAAAATTAACGCTCAAATAAGACCTTAATTGTAAAAGTAAGCATTAGACAAGTAATAGTTTTAAAATAATTCGAAGACTTTATCAAATTTATTTATAATATTATTTTCCACTTTCAGTTAAAGGTCTATTTTTTTGATACAGATTCCAATGGACTAGGAACATAAAATAGAAGAGGAAGCACATGCATAATTCAAACAAGAAAATAATGGATAAAAACATAGAAATCTCTGTTACCCCTTGCACAGCCTTTATCTTCCACTCCCCGAGTACAGGATGGTCCGACATGACTAAACTGTCTGTAAACACTCCATTATCAGGAACCTTATTCTTCCACTGAGCGATTTTATTTCCAAGAGGGTCCTTTTAAAAATAGAAGAACGTGTTCCATCAAGCCCATGACTTTCTCTTATTAAGTGCCTCTAATTCAGAACTTATGAATTAAGCATTTAAAACTCAGAAGAAGCTACGTACGTATATTTCAACATCAATGTTCTGATTTACAACAGATAAATCTGGGTATATTCCAAAGACACGGAAATGAACTGAAAAAAACCCCACAAAAATTAGTCATTGTTAGAATCAGAGAAATGATTCTTGAATATGGACATAACGACAGCCCAGTGGACTATGGTTTTGGATATCAATGGCGTACATGTATGTAATATTTAATGAAAACACAGAAACAGATAAATTATCATGATAGAAAACAACTCTGGTCTTAAATTATTAAAGATGCCATCTAAATATCAAATTGTAAGTGTGAAGGTGTGTGTCTATGTGAGGGTAAGGATGTGTGTACGTGAGTTGTGACACTCATCTAAAACAACAAATATTCCACGTGGATTTCTGGTACAGAATGGGTTTTGCTGTGAAGAGGAATTCTGAAGCAATGAAATGCTTACTTGTTTGACCAGGTTTGTAGATTGCCTTGTCCGTTTGGATCATCACAGATGAGTATTTAGGATTGAATTCTACTTTTGTATAGTTACTGAAGTTAACTCCTCCCTCTCCCTGAATACTAATAGCATACTCTTCTCCAGCGCTTAAAGTGGAGGGCATCTGTTGTACAAAACATAATTACTTTAGCATGGAACATCTTATCAATTTTTAAAGCAAAAAATGTATATGTTAAGTTTTATTATGGTTTTTTGAAAGTTAACACCAATATTAATAAATTTTTGCTTTGTTTTTGATATTCTATATGTCTTATAAATGAAATCTTGACTTTTAGGAGGTGTAATGATGAGTTATGTATCGATTATCATTTACAGCAAACTGAAACTTACCATTAAAGGAATTGTAAGCAATGTTGGATTTTCGGGATCTACAAGAGAAAATATAGTTTTTTTATGATGATGCAATAAAAAGGTAACGTATTTAGTAATAAACAAACACATCACATTTTAAGCTTACTGGACGTTTTGTTGAACATTTCTTTGGCTAATTGTGATTCTTCAATAATTTTAAAGAGAATTTAAATACTCTAGAGAAAACAAACTAAATTTTAAAAGAAAAGCAAAGTCAATATGATTCCTACATCTGATAAAAAGAAAAGTCATTCTATGCAAATTTCATAAAAAAAAGTGAATGTAAATCGAAATTTTCCAAACACTTAAATAATCAGTTGCTAAATTCCAGTATACAGGAGTTAACATACGAGGGTTGTCCCATAAAATCGTGGACAAAGCGTTTTTCTCAAAAAGTAATGGGCGCACTAAGCTGAAATTTTCAGTAAATGTTTATTCATCATATTTAAGTGAATCATAATGTTTTTGATAATATATATTCAAAAATAAAGATTTTATTCTGTTTGAATGTGCACAAGGTATGGTCCTACGGCGCACGGTAAAAATAGCAAGGTTATATTCGAGAAGACATAAGAATTAATTGGTAATAATAGTTTTCAATACATAAGATTAGGTTGAAAATTATCCTAATTCCATTCTTTAATCAATTCTGTCGTCTTTTTAAAAATTTCAAGGCATTTGGTTAATTTTTGGCAGTTTCCCAAGCATTTGAAATGGGAAAGTAATAAACACAATACACGAAAAATGGCGATTTTTTATGACGTTACGGCGCACCGGAGAGCAGTTCAGATAGATTAGGATGTTGTAATGACGCCTTAAGAGACTTTAAATGAATACAGAAGAAAGAAAATATGAAAAATATCACCAGATCTTTAGTATATAAATGAAATGAAAGTTTTCTTAGTGAAGTCTTCGTGGTCGAGTCCCCAGATAGTACAAAACATATGGACAGACTGCCATTTGTAATAGCAAAGGACGCTGTCACTGTCGACCGTCGATGTGAGATTCTCTTTTAGTTGAATGATGGTGAGAATACTGTCTGTAACTTGCTAATAAATATTCAGAAGATCGCATGAGTGTGCCGCATTGGTTTCTTAACTGGTTATAGATACTCACATATGTAAATCAATAAAATTTCTAAATTTAAGAGGGGCTTATCCAACTTCAAGTTTAGCAAAGATGAAACGTGACGCTGTTTTAGACACTTTGACGTTATCATCCGTGCGCCGTAGGGCGATACAGTACATAACATAAAATATCACAATTTGTTAACCTTTGCATATATCTATTTGAAATTTGCTATGTATATTCATAATTTATCTACTAAAAAGTGGTGAAAATTTCAGAACGCAGTGATGATTATTTTTCGAACTAGACAACTTGTCCACGATTTTACGGGACAACCCTCGTAAAACCTGCTAACGTGAATAATTATTGTGGTCATCATTTCTAGGACTTAAGGCTTCTTATCCATTATCCTTCATTTCGGACAAGAAAATACGTGAAGCCGACTAATTCTGATATCTACCTGTGGTCCTAATTTCGGACACGACAATACATGTCTACTAGTTCTGATATCTACCTGGGGTCCTTATTTCGGATACGGCAATACATGTCCTCTTATTCTGATATCTACCTGTGGTCCTTATTTCGGACACGACAATGCATATTTACTAATTCTGATATCTATATACTTGTGGTCCTCATTCCGGACGCGACAATACATGAAGTCTACATATTTTGATATATACCTGTGGTCCTGATTTCGGACACGACCGTGCTATTTTTACTGTCCAGCAGACTGGCCACTACCGTGGTCGCCGGGGCACCTGCTGCATTCAGAAGCTGGACCTTTACATTCGTCTCCAGGTTAGGACGAATGGTCTTTGGGAACATAACAATGTAGGAACTGAAAGATGGGGTATAACTTGTTAGAGCATGTGTATACTAAACACAAATAAGAAATTAAAGTTTAAAAATTGCGTTTAAGTATTTCTAATCTTATTTTTTGTATTAAAATGTTCTCAGTCTGAAGAAACGTTGAATTTTGCCTCAGTTGGTAAAATAAATGTAACGTGATGAAAAATCTTTATTGGATGTAAATATGACGGATCTTACTTCTTGGCGAGGGAACATGATATCACAGATAATAGGATGAAAAGGAAAACTTGTGCTTCCATATCTGTAAAAACAAAATAAACTAAATGCTATTAAATTAAGCAGAAACATTACAAATGGAAAACATTTCTGAGATTTTTGTTCATATATGAAATACTACAGTTCCTTATGTCCAACAAAATGGAAATAAAATACGTTAAGTCCTCTGATATAGCTTCTTCCTATTTAAGATTTAATAAGAGAAAAAAATGAGGGAAAACTGCATGTAACAACTAAGCTTTATGATATGTGTAATGGCTTCGAATTCACTTATCTTTTGTTAATTTTCTTTCTTTCTTCTTTTTTTTTTTTTAGGGAAGTACCATTTTAGCATATGAGGGTTATACCCCACAGTTTGGTATATATGTTCTTCGTATCAAATTTAAAGGTTAGTTTTTCGTAAGAAAAATTTCTAAACAATGCAGGACACTAATAAAAAAAATTGTTGTTACAAAAGATTTTACATCCAATCTACACACTACAGTAAACATTTTGCAATTTATTTTTATGGTTGATGCAATGACCTTCTTACATGTAGCAAATAAATATGTACAATCTACCTTAGGACGTATGTTGACTGTGGTCTTTCAGAAAAATTATTACATGTAGGTCATTATTTTCTTAGAGCAAGGAGGATGTTTTCAAGAGATAAAAACACGGTGAATCCTAGACAGCGAGCACTATCTGTGACATCTAAAGACTGTGACTTTTACATTATTTTCATACAAAAAATTAAATTCCAGCAATTGAAACTATTACTCTGCCCGTGATTTATGTAACAAAGATTTTGGTATACTTCAGTATTTCTTGGTCCATTAACTACATTCTTTATATTGTCTATTTTATAGTGCACTATTTCTAAGTTAAATATTTTTACGTATATATACCTTGTTTCTCAATGACATCACCAAACAATAACAATTAACAGAGGTCAAAAGTTTACACCGTAGCCGCCTTTTGAGTGAGATGATATAGTGAAAGGTGTAGAATTAATGAATACGTATCTACTTGTTTGACGGGGAAACATGTACAGAACGCTCAATTCAGAAACCACTGTGGTGTCAAGAATGGGCGAATATATGTTAATGTACCTGAAGTGTTTTAACCTTTTTTATCTTCCTATGGACACAATGTTCGCAGTCCCTTATTATTATTATTTGTTTTTTTAACCGTAAGTATTATTTTTTTAATGAAAAACGTCATTTATTAATGAAGCATACGGAGATAACGAACAGCATTCAAGATCAAAAGTCCACAAAACAACACAAAAAAGGAGCGGAGCGAATACGGACCTCCAAAACATCAGAGGCGGAACCAGGCAAATCACAAAAAAGTTTTCGAGAAATAATACCACAGAAAACACTGTTATAAATTTAAGAGTCTTGTTTTCATAATCTAATGTTCATTTGTTTGTTAAAATGTTTCTTCAAAACAAATCGAATATTAGAAATTATTAATAAAAGCCCACACTTTAATTAGATTTTAAGAATCTGGTGAAAGAGTAGAAAATTCTTAATGATTGAAGGGTATTTAAGCTTATTTTCTAGGATTCTCTTATAAAATATACTAATTGTAACATGTATATGCCAGACCTTACTATTTTAAATTATTTTAAATATTTTTAAAAATTTGAATGACTTTATAGGTTTCTGAGTAGTTCAATAAAAAACCTCTGGTCTAAGCTCAGGAATTGGTTTAAAATTGGGGGTTGTTGGTTGGTTGGAGGAGGGGGGGGGTGTAAGTCTGTAAGGCAATAGTCCTGATAAAACCAAATCATATGATCAAATATGTATGTATAATATGTATAATTAAATTATTACAAAATTATCTTTCAAACTTTATACAGAATGTTGAAAATTACTAAGGTAAAATAATTAAACAGAATTAATTGCTTTTATCAGAGTTTTCATAGCAATGTAAATATAAGTAAATGATACTAACATGATTCAGTAAAAAAAAAAAAATTGAAGTTTACATCCATGTGTTTGAACATCTAATTTACATAAGCCACAGTATAAATCATGCAAATTAGATTTTGAACTTTATGGATGCCTTTGCAAGCATAAAACAGTTTGTTTAGTTGGACTTGAGGTTAGTTAGGGCACAGAATTATGTGACAGAATAACAAAATATATGCGACGCCAATCATCGTGTATTACACATTAAGAATGCGTTATTCATATATAGGTAACATTACGGTAATAATAATTAATTAGTCTTGCCAGCTCATACTTATGATTGTCAGGCGTGTAAAGTACAAATCTTGGTGTGTTTAGCATTGGTAAGTATGTAAGTAAGTAAATATTTTATGACATTAATATTCTACCAAACTTTAGGGAGGGGTTAAAACCAAAATTAATGCTATCACTGACAGTAATATAATGGATGATTTTGGATACACATAGAATGCAAGGCGGTAACTATAGTCTTACATTTTTAGTGAGGCAAGTGGTCTGGGGGCAACCAAACTGACCGCTGTATGGGAGAGGGTCAGAAACATGGATATTTAGGCAATTAAATACTTCTTTAAAAGTTTTCAGATTGTGAATTATTTATTTAATGCTTTCTGGACGATAATGAAGCACCTGGTGGGATGATCGATTTACAGAAATTGAAACAAAAGTTGAAAGTATTGTTGTACAAAGACATGCATAATTATTTAATTAAGTATATTTCTTAGAAATCTCTCAAATTTTAGTGAGATATTTGTCTCGCTTGCCTCAATGATAGTTTTGACCTTGGAACATGTTTTACTTTAGAGATTCAATTTTCTATTAATAATTCGTATTCAATTTGTATAAACTTTATCGTTAAAATATACCTAGATGTATATTAACCAGCAAATCTTCAAAGATTGGTCATAATTAGATAATACTGTATATTTCAATGAAATTTCAAAGCGCTTACATGTACAGCGCTTACATGTACAAAATACGATTCATAAACATTAAGATTCTTACGCCCCTTAATTTTTTTTTTTAATTTTTTTTTATTTTGGACAAATGCATGCAGGGAAAGCATATAAGCATAATTTATGAAATGAATGACAATAGTACAAACTTGATAAATTGTATTGCAATGATTTAGAATTATACTTTCAAAATGTTCAATTGAATTCAAAGAGGTCACAATGCTAAAATCAGAGCCTCAACAATTCATTAGGGAATCTAAGTAAATTAAATACATTTTATGCCTCTGATGCTGTATTTTGCCTTTGTGCAAAAAGTATGTTAATTGTTTCGTAATTTTTCGGCTTTTTTGGCTGGGTTCATACATCATGTTTACTTGTAAATCTTCAGTTGATGAATTGGTTGTGCTAATTACCGCGGGCGTGTGTGTTCATTTACACAGTTACAAGATGTCACTCTCCCGCACTACCCTCTCAAACAAACTGACCCGCCCAGGAATCTAGGGCCTCATTGTCCACTTACACGTGTTTTACCGAGGGACACCGGCTAGCTCATTTATCATCGTGTTACACCAAGTAACCACAGGATCAGGCCATAATTAACAAGCAACTTTTGCAAAGAAATCTGTGCTTACTTTTCTGAAGTCATTGGATGCATCAATTACTCTTAGCATGATATTCTTGGTAAAGTTCACGATTATCAACTGTGTATATTCTTCTATATAATAAATGCATATACCATGTCATTTTCCTTTTCCTTTTTCACACATAGGAAAATAAAATGCAATCCTTATTTCATTTTTCATTTTATTTGTGTACATTTCTTTTAAATACAGTAAAGTTGTGCAAGTATGAATTACCCGGTATACATTAATGAATTCTATTCACGCATGCAAAAAATAAATAAATAAAAATAATTTTTATCACTTACCTAACTATATGAGACGATATCCACTAAAACATAAAAAATTTCAAACAATGATTCTAAATTCAACTCTTATAAATATCCTTTACTACTGCATATTTGTGCTGTATTGCAATGCTATAATTTCTGTCTCACTTAACAGATAAGAAGTATATATACCGTTAGCATAGGGTCTGGTTTATCCCGTCACACCTGACTGATTTTGTTGATTAATAGTCGGAGCTCTTCATCATACGTCACATCGTCACGCTCTTCCAGAAGGGTCTTCCCATGAGTTGTAATAAGGGTTTTCATTGGCTGATTTTCCACGCTACGTCACTTTACGCTGCTCACTGTTTACATGGAGGTTGTAAACAAAACGTAGAAATTCAGAGGTGTGCAGATCAGCTCTCGTTAACCTTCTCACGGAATGTGAAAATCGCAACACGCACACGTGTGCAAAAATTAAAAAAAAAAAAAACTACTCCCACTCTCCATAAATTTCACAGTGCTGAATTCATGACAACTTACATCGTATTATGCCGTTAAAATAATTAAGACATTGATATATTATTAAAAAATCACTTATAATAAGAAAGTATAGCTGTAGAAATATTTTTTAAATTTTTCAATATGATGTCAACGGGTCTGACATGAATTTTTTTTTAACTTTCTAAAAAAGAAAAAAAAAAACTATGATATAGAGAATGAAGTATGAAAATAAAATGCAATATCTTAATTTTGATTGAAATTTAATATATTTTAATTAATGTACGCAGGGAAAATACATTCGCATATCACACATATTTATACATGTTTGTCAATGTATGAGCCCTCTGGGTTATCATGTTTTGATAACAATCCCAGAATCTTAGCTGGACACTACTTTTTCAATTTTTTGTAGATGCACAGTATTTGTGGGGAATTCCCTCCAATATGCCCCGCTTAATCTGTTTGTAAACAGCATCTGTAGCAGCAAATGGTACTCATAAATCGCAGATAAACTTCGAGGTTGTTTCCCATATTCCTTCAAATGTGCGCAATATATATCTTTTATTTCTCTGTGAATGTCACATGAACACTGCTATTCTCGAATCATCTGTAAAAATAAAATTAAATTTTAGTTTAAAAATTAAATAGTATTACACATAGTATTTATATGTTCTGTGTCGTCTTCAGGGACGTAGCAACACTTTTTTCCCCAAACTTACTTATACTATAGGAACTGTTAATTGAAAGTTTAGTTCCCCCCCCCCCCCCCACTTTAGTGATGTACGGAAAGTGTAGTAAAGAAATTGGTAATGAAAGTATTTGAAATTGAGAAAAAGGTGGCCTCTACCCCACCCACCCCCCACCCCCCACCACAAAATAGGATTTTCAACTTTGGGCAACTTTTTCCTTTTTTTGCTTGTCAACTTTTACAGGCAAGTTAAAAAAAATTCTCTGCCTGCCCCCCCCCCCCCCCCCCTGTCAAAAACGATGCTACGTGCCTGTGTCTTTATGAGAAAAATTCTCGAATGGGATGTGAAACATACATGTTCTGTGTGTGTGTTTTTATAGCAATATGCGAATAGATATTCAAAATAGTTAAGAAGTTTTAAAAACAAGTTTGAAATACAAAACTCTTGTAAAAATACCTTTAATGATCTCTCAAATTTCTACTTTCATTTGTTTATCACAATGAAGACGTTTTCCTTTAGAAGAATTTCTCAAGATAAAAGGGAGCCAATTTCGAAAAAAGTTAAGTTTTCGATCTGAGAACTAAATACATATGCAATTAAGAAGTACAAAGATTGATGCCAAATCAATACAAGATTAGCTAGTTCCCAACATGGAATCCTTTTTATTCCAAAATTTCGATATTTTAATAATAATATTCTGTTTTCACACATCTTGGGCGATATCATTTCAATCTTTGTATAAAATTTGATCCCTTTGTTCAATAATAATTTTTCACATTATAAATGATTCTATTAAGATGAAGGATAATTTTTTTTTTAATGAATGCATGCCTCTACGGAAGCGTAAATGGCTCTATACTTGTTGTGTTATAACCTTGTATATTGTCTTATATTTTAGTGTAGAGCCATTTACGATTCCGTATGCCTCTTCGAGTAAAAAGGTCACATTTCTATAATTTTAATTGTTTAACACACATAAACAGAAATTACCAGGTAAATGCGATTACATTTTTTCTTCTTAATGAAAGAAAGATGTCATTATTTTTCAAGAAAATTATATCCCTAATTTGGATTTCTTTCAGATACTTAGCAAAATATTTGAAAATAAACATGAATGAAAACTGATTGTGTACATGTACCACATCAATATATTGTTTATTGTTGTTTATGCAACTAAAACTTTATTTGATTCTTCCTAGAAAAAAATATTTATAACAATAATTCATTTAGGTCAACTTCTGGATATCTAAACATCAGAAATTAACCCTAGTGATTTTTTTTTCGATATTAACTTTTTACAACTTATTGAATTGTTATGAAACATGCACTTAATGTTCACGTCATAGAAATATGACTTTACCATTTCCCTGCAAGCACTTTATAGCGTAGTACAAGTTTATGGTAAATAATACTATGACGAAATATTTTAATAAGAAAATAATTTCTTATTTTATGAGATTTAAACAAGTATGAAATAGAACAAATTTGGAAATAAATTGAAGATTAAATGAACATTTTAAAATGCGTGAAAATGCGTGACTGTAGGGAAACGGTATATTCTTCATTTTGTGTTAGAAATATGAAATGGTTTATGCGTTAAAATGCGTGACTGGAAGGAAGAGGGTTAAGAGCATTCTTTGTCTACAACGAAGTTTTAAACTAAGGCAGACTTCTGCCAGATAAGCTGATGTTTCAAGACGACTTTATCACCCGTTTAAAGTAATAATTTTATAAATTCTATGGTTTGATGATCTAGTATAGCATTGCATCGTACTTTGGCTGACTTGTTTCATTCCATTTGTTCGCCTTTCTTTTTATACTGATTTTGACTAGGGAGTATTTTGTCTACACGATTGATACATAAGACTCACAGTCGGAGTGATCGGTCGACAGGGGACTTTTACTCCGCCTAGGTACTGATCCCACCTCTGAAATTTCAAGAGGTTTATCTTTATGCCCTCTTCATAGATTTGTATTGTTTAATACATTTTATCATTGAGTCAAATGCTGACTGACGTTTTCATAGTAATTGTTTGTCCATTATTAAAACACTGAATTGAAGACGGATTTTTCAGTTATTTCCCGATCATGAAAAGGAGCACACGGCGGGTGTGACCGGTCAGCAGGGGATGATCACTCATCCATAGCACCTGATCCCACCTTTAATGTTTTAGAGGTCCGTGTTTGCTCTCCTCCTATTTTGTATTGTTTTATGGACTTTGAGATTGAATACTGTTCGTTATCTCCACATCCTTCTCTAAGAATGTTTTAGATCGACCACAGTTCGTTGTCTTCACCCTTCTCTTTTGTAAAATAAATGTGAATTCAGTATAAAGTCAAAATTTTGAAATAAAGAAAAAAGAAACATTATAATTGTAACAAACATGTTGTTTCTTAAAATATTGACATACGAAATATCACGATTGTCAGATACGATTATCAGAGGTCGAATACGTACAAGTAAATCTAGAAAGGGAGACGTGAACGAGATACGATCACTTTATGCATGAAAAAGACATTGTAAGTTCGATATATGATGGTGCTATTTCTACTTTTGTTGAAGTGATTATTATAATTACAAAAAATAATATGTAGTGATGTTGAATAGTACATGTAAATATTAATAATCTTTCATGTTAATTTAGGGTTTCATGCGAAATGGTTATCTTTTAAATTAAAATATGAAAATGCCGGGTAATGAACAGTAATCAAGATCAAATATCAATTGCAAATTAAAATACAAATCGGGAACAGAGGAAACAAGGACCTCTAAAACGTCAGTGGGATCAGATGTCATAGAAAAGTAAACATCCCATGTCTACCGATAACAACCAGCGCAGGCTTCTTGTCAGGATCGGAAAGAGGAAAACCCCGTAGACATTTTTTTGTGCAAAAATCTACACAATAGTTTATAGAAATAAAATCAGTCATGATTCGTCTAAATGATAGAATGTATTTGCCATCAAGATCATTGTATCGATCATTGAACTTGAAAACCTATTTCTTTAAATTAAACAGTTGATATCCTTGTTTTATCATTTTTTTTCAATAACTGATCTTGTTTTAATGTTTTTGGTGCGTAGAGACGCTCTTGCGTATCGAATTGACAAGGAGATGTAAAGCACATAAAGGGTATTTATTTGCAACATAAGTGTGAGGGAGGCCAATATATGATAGATAAGACAGATTATTTCAGAAAACTGGGATAAATTAACTCAACTTATATAGCAATTTATATCCTTATTATTTTTTTTGTTTCGTGTTAATTAACGTCCCCTTTGATTATTTTTAATCATACTGAGTTACGAATGAAAGGTTGCAAATTTCAGACCCATACTCGGAATGCAGAGCCATTGAGTAGAAAAGATTTTTGTGCCAGCACGGGATCTGTGTAGATGCATTTCATCGGAGGGGAGGGACCCTTGTGGCAACGCACTTTGAAAAAATTACGCACTTTTCAACGCACTTTGAAAATTTTTTTCAAAGTGCGTTAAGAATGCACATAAACATATTTTACCATATCCTTTGAAAAAAAGATATGTATGAAAATAAAAATTCTTAATAGAGGAAATCAAATTGTAATTATTATATTTCGAAAAACTTTTTTAAATTTACATGAAATCATTTAAATTGAGAACAAGGAAAAACGTCTCTCATCCCAACTCTTTTTTTCTTAAACATTGTACATAGCTGTCGGTAGCAAATTGAAAGTTGACCCCACAGGTAAGCCCCAATTTTTAATGCATACATGTATATATTATGTATATCTTTGCAAAATATTTATGTGCTTACATGTTACCCCCCTTTCCGGTACTGATGCTTATGCTACACCAAAATATATGTGTTTACATAACTGGTATGACGTTGAAAACTTTCAATAAATTTAAGTTTACATAAAATGCATGCAAACTTGAAAAAAAATAAGTACAGTAAAGCATTTAAGCGAGAAAGAATTTTTGGAAAAATCAAAATCTCTCACTTTCACATTCTGA